TCTGCTAGTGCCCCTCCCCTCCATGCATTTCATTAAAGCAGAGGAATTCTTGAATCAAAAACATACACAAGCCAGCCACAAAACGTACCTATAGTACACCCTTAAAACAAGATTGCCTCAGAATTCAATCTAATGCCCTGCGTACATTCTTGAATTATCATGATTTCAATAGGGACAGGCTTGTCTTACTTGTTTATGTACAATGGGATTTATAGTTATAGATTTCGCTCCACCTAGTAAAAAACTGTACATTTCCTTGTTAGATAAAAAACTCCTCAAGGAAAATAAACCCATATAATCATTCAACATGCACAAGAGGAAAAACATTTCCCTCTTGTCTTACAATATGTGCAAATTCTTCCCACATAACCCCTCCAGCACGTCTTTTGGGGCAGCATTTTCTCACAATATCTAATTGTGATTGGCTTCCTCTAGCTTTATTCACACACGTGCATGTGCACAAAACGTATTAATTTTATATGATGGACTAAAATATATTTTAAAATAACAGGAAGCAACAGGATATATAGTCTATTTGTTGTAACTATCATCTGAAGCGGTGTTTTAATAGTGCAGAATTTATATTGCTATGAATTATTTGTTCTTATTCCTAGTCAATGTTTCAATCCATATTCAGGAAAACAACTCTGACAAAGAATACACCACAGTGCCATATGAGTGTTTTCAGCTCTCACAGGTAATAACAATGCAAACATCTGGCAAATAACTCTTCTCTTTTTACAATTTGCAATCTAAATCCTATTTCACAGGAAAATTGCTGTGTCCAATTATATTTTAAAACAGCTACTAAGTAGCTCTACCTAATGATGAAATTCTGCTTCAATAGTGGCTGCCAGGTGTTTATCATGGACCACAGAGATTCAGCCACATCCTTTCCCTTCCCATCAGCTCTGTTCAGGATTTCTGCCTTCTCCCTACCATTAGCAGAAGGAAGGCAAGGATTTTTAAAGAAGATTATTGAAAGAAATGTGGGTCCACTGCCTCTCTTTCTCAAGCTGGGAAGCAGTGATCCTGAACAGATTCTTTGGATGTGGAAGCCATGCCCTCTTCTTTCCAAGGGATCGTTCTAACAATGTGCTGATTCTTCACTGCTGTTATGATCAAGTATCTGATTATTTGGGCTTTGGGAGGAAGCAGCTAGAGCAGGGCTTTTCAACCAGTGGTACGGGTACCACCTGTGGTACATTGGCACCTGGCACGTAGTATGCAACCATTATAGAAAAGTGGTAGCGGGGGAGGGGAATGAGCTGAACCGGTGGCAGCATCGCACAAGCCTGAGAGAGAGATGGCTGCAGCTGCAGGGCTGTCAGGGCTCAGCGGAAGTGCCAGGATCAGTGCCGCTTTCCAGCTGATTGGCACTTCTTTGGGACTGTCAGGGCTCAGTGGAAGCACCAGGATCAGCACCAGGCTCCAGCTGGAGATCGGCGCTGATCCTGGTGCTTCTGCTGAGTCCTGAAGAAGCACCGATCAGCTGGAAAGCAGCACTGATCCTGGCACTTCTGCTGAGCCCAGAAGAAACGCCGATCAGCTGGAATGTTGCAGCATCTCCAGGGTCTTGTGATTTACATTCAGATGCTTGGCAACGGATTCATATTTATGACGGTCACAGTGTCCCAGGGTCATGTGAAGTGACCAAAACCTGCTGAAACCACCCAGCAGACGGGGGGGATAAAAACCAAACACCCTCCCACCCCATCCCCGCTGCCAATCCTCAACAGAAATACTCACAACAATGAAAACCTCGAACAGGAGGAGGAGCACTGCTGGGTGGGCAGGCAGGTGTCTTGCTCGGCTGTGGCTTGGGAGGCACTTTTTTCAGTGCCATTGTAACTTCGAACAGTCACTAAGCGAACTGTTGTAAGTCAAGGACTACCTGTACTTTATGACTTTTTTTCTTTTTTGAGGGGGGATCATCAACTTTTTGACACCTTGCTAGGCGACTGGTGGTACACGGATGTTGCCATATCCTAAAAGTGGTACAATGGGTGAAAAGGTTGAAAAGCCCTGAGCTAGAGTACTCTGGATCATATCAACCACCCTGCGAGACGGGATAGGTTGAGAGACAGTAACTGGCCCAAAGACTCCTAACCAGCTTTTATGGGAGGCCTAAGATTCAGGGTTTTTTAAATAAAATTATTATTTCTATGCAGTACATTTACCACCCTGTTAGGCTTTCTTTCACTGGTTCCCATCTCTGAGATAGTATTTTGAAATTGTTTTTCTGTAAGTGTCAGCAGTCATAAAGCATAAAGTATAAAACTTTAAAGTGATGTTTAGGTTGTTTTAATGCTCCAGTTTGTTTCATGAGCCTAAGCACCAACGATCAGCAGGGAATTATGTGCTTCCTCTTCAGAATATGCAGCATTGTCATTATATTCAAGACTAAAAATGAAGTTTATTCCAATTCTAAGTATAAACTAAACCTAATCGACCAATTTTGGTAGCATTGGCATCTATATTTTACTAAATAATCTCTAAATTATACTGACCAACACATAAGAGAATACAGAATATTTTTATGATAATTTTATAATTATTTTACCAATATTATAAAGTCAGGCAAAAGAGGTAATTGAACTAGTGCTCACAACAAATGAAAGCCATTGTTAATATTTCTTATGTAGAAATATCTTTACAGAGATACTCAATTGAAACTTAATGGAAAAGGATATTATAAGATTTTATACCCACACTCTATATCCTAGGTGCCTGCAATGTCACAATAAAACATAGTTGACTTCGAGGCATTGTTTACCTTAAAGAATCTTCATTTGAGTAGCATAGCATCAGCACTTACATAAGCAAAGCCAAAATCTGAATTCCCCTCCCCTGAGCACATAGTATCAAAGCACAATTCCCTCCTCTAGTTAACAATCATAAATCACATTCTCCAATTAGTTTGAAATGCAGGCTTTCCCTCCAGTTCTTCAACCCCCATTTCTTATCTTCTTTTATTTCAAAAAACCTTGGTTCTCACACTATTTACAATATTGTTATGTCTAACTAAACTCCCATGCACATTCCTCCTCCCCCCCCCCAGTATCATCTATTTCTAACTCTAATTCTAAGAGTAAAACAAAGTAAAGGAAAATGGCTGCATCTCCATATGTTGTCAACGCAAGCACATTCTATGTTAGCAGCGACAATAGTACTGTGTTAAGTACTAGGCAAAATACTTCATTGTCCTTCACAATAAAATACAATACTATAAGGATCTGGAAAAAGTGAACAATTAACTGCAAGTTTTGTCTTAATTAACCTTCAGGATACATCTTATTTATTAAAACCAGAATTCTTTCTTTACCTTTTTCCTGGATATCCTATGCAACTAATTCCACACTTTAGGCTTAAGCTTTTTAAACCTCTCACAATCTCTTCCAAAGCAAGAAATTTTTAAAAGCCATTTGCTATATGGAATAAAAGTTTGCAAAAATTAAATAACATTATTGAGGTTTTAACTGTGCAAGTACACCATATTGTGAAGAAAATGTTGTGAATTAATATCCTTAGTAGAACCTACACACTCTATTTTTAAAAACAAAAACAAAAGCAGATTTGTTCCAACTGAATCTTCTCTAAACATAAGACAAATAATTTTTTGAACATCTGAAAAGATGAACCACCAATTATAAACGTATGTTTAGGTACACAGAAATAGCAAAATGTTTGTTCATCGGTAATTTAATTACCTTTATAGAGACAAATAATGCATTAATGCCAAGATTCTCTGCACTCTTAATTTTTAGCTATAGCAGCTTAGAAAAGAGTTAGCATTTCAAATTGTAATGTGATAGCACCTGTCAGCTCTGAAATTCTTTTATACAGATGGGCCCCATAGGCTTGAATATTTTTCTATTAGCAGTATATTTTATAATCACATGGAAGTAAAGGGACATTTAGGAGCTAGAAACTTGATCAATGTTAGCAATGGGAAGTTATTACCGTAGAAGTTTATAAATGCACTCATGAAAAATAAAATGAATAGAAGTCTTGAGAATTTGTATGTCTAATGTGAATTAGGGAAAAAAAAGAGATGGTCTCAGACAGCATAAACAATGCTTTATTTGGAGAGAAGGAGAACATGCAGTATGCATTTCCAAAGACTCAATAAGATAAAGTGCAGATATTGGTTACATCTGCTTTCCAGACAAGAGAACAGAAGTATTTTCCTTCCCTTTTTTTTTTTTTAACTACGCTAGCAGTCATAAATCCTGACTGCGCTTCCATTTATGGGATGTCTGTCTCAATCTAAAGGGGGAGAAAACTCCTGTTTGTATTATTCAACAAAATATAGAGTATAATCCCCAAACACAGAGAAATGGTTATTTTAAAAAAAGGAAAATGGCAGCTATATACTTGGAACATCTTACATCCTGCAAGGTTAGCTTTAATACTATCAAATAACAACAACATCTGCCTATCCTTGGGAAGGGCTTGAGAGCGATAAAAATGCCAAATCCAGTCTGAACACAGGGTTGACTGTGCCATCAGCCACAATAATAATGCTTCACACTTGCTCTTCTACTGCCAGAGAACTCTGTAGTTTCAGAGAGAAGCGACAAGAGCTTTGTATATTTTGCTGTCAATAAAACAGAGATAGTTTCTTTGGCATACTGCATTCTGTTACAAAAATTGTGAAGTGCAGCCTGGCTACAGGACTACTTTTCCCTACCTGCAACTTCCAGGGTTAGCTCTTTTCCTAACTGTTCTCTTCTAGCAGTTCACACTGCTATCTAAATCTCCCCTTATTTTTTCTTCCAGAGATCCAAAGACTTCTTCAATGTCTATCGAGATTCTCAGTCATCCAGGTCATGTTTGTCCCAAAGGTGCTTTTTTTCAAGAGGCAACTGAGACTTTCTTGTTTTTTCTTTGAAGACGTTTTGCTTCTCATCCAAGAAGCTTCTTCGGCTTCTTCGCTTCCCCATCTTCCAGTCAGAGCTGAAGAAGCTTCTTGCACGAGAAGCGAAAACGTCTTTATTAAAAAAAAACAAGAAAGTCCAGTTGCCTCTTGAAAAAAAGCACCTTTGGAACAAAGACTTCCTCCTCTCCTTCAAGGAACCTGCGCACCGATGTCTCTTCTCCTATGAGGGGAAACTTACCCCACTGACTAGTTGGTTTTAACAGAGATCGAAGAACTGGTTTCGCTAACCTGGGGTGAGTCTGGATGTCATCTCTCCCCACAGAAAACTCTCCCTTCCCGACTCAGTATGGAAAGTCCTCAAGGTTTCTTTTCCCACACTGGGACGGTCCGGATCATAATGCCCAAACATCAATTTTCATAGAGGGAACTTGAGGGAAATCTAGCGCAAAACGTTCGGAAGGCGCCAAGCTGTTTCCGCTCGGTTCATGAGGTCCCCACCACCCCTCCGGCTCCCGCCTCTGCTCCCCCCTCCGGGGCCCCGCGCCTTCTCTGCCCGGCCGCCACTTCTTCTTCTTCGCCACCCACCTGGCTGCTGCTTTCGGCGGGCAGGTTCCTCAGCAGAATCTTGCGCCTGTTGCTCAACTCCCGCCTTGTGCTCTGCAGTCTCCGGGCGATCTCCTCCGTGGACAGAGCGGGGAGTTCCCCACCCGCCCCCGCGGCGGGCTCCCCCGGAGCCCCGAGCGAGTCGGGGCCAGACCCGGCGGATGCCGCCATCTTGCCGGCCCAGAGGCGAACACGCTCTCCCTCCGCCAGGGGAAGCCGGTGGGCGGGAGGGGAGCCAGGGCGGGCTGGGTCGGAGCGGGAGGGGCAAGGAGAGCTCAGCAGCCGGCGGTGGTCAGCCTGCGCCCGCCTGGGACACAAAGGAAAACGCGAGGCGGGCTCGCGCGCCTTCGCTGCCCGGGCTTTGAAGTTCCTGGCCGCGCTCGTGCTCGTCTCTTGGCCGGGAGGATGCCTGCAGGGCGAAGGATCCCGTTCGTCGCTGTTTTGGCTCGGTGTCGCCTACGAAAGGAAAGAAGCGCCTTCCGCGCCCCTTTAGAAATTCCGCTAGCCAGCTCTTGAATTATCCAGTGACTTTGGATGCGTTAGAAAGAAATGGTTGCATCCACCGGCAGAGCAATAGCGTGACACCTTTCGTTCCTTAACAGTTGTCACAGAAATGTGACAATCGAGATGGCACGATAAGGAAAAGCGTTGCCCTCGGAATGGCGTGGGGCGCCACGAGAGAGGCTAGTGCCTTGAAGTGAAAGTGGATTAATGTTTCACCACAACTAGGATATTATATAGGATATTATGTATATTCCTAAGTCGTGTTTTTTTTTTCCAATGCACTGCGAGACTGGAGAAGGCATTTGGAGTTTTAACACTTCAGAAGGGGAAAGCGATTAAAAACAGGGAACAACTGTTTTTAAAACTTCTTCACAATTAAAAAACGTTGACCTTCCCTCGCTTTTTTGTTATTTAATTTGTGGGAGAGAAAAATAATTAAGGTTTCTGAAGAATGGAAACAGATTTCCAGACATGCACATTTAGCAAACTCCGCAAAAGCTTGGGGATAAATGCGTTCCTCCAGTCTCTTGGTAAAGTAATGTAGCGTTTTATATTAACTCTGTAGAGATCCCTCTGCATGCATTGTTAGGTTTTACTGTAGCAACAAACACACCTTAGAACCTCTGGGTAATATCAGGTGACAGGCTGAATTAAAACTGACCTTGAACACCACCCTCATTTTCATCATAACTAAGGAAATCCTCTTGTATTTCAACAGCTGTCCTAGTAGAGGATGGAAATAAAATAAACAGCTGGCAAACAATCATTTTCACAGGTGGCCCAAAAGGCTTTACCACTTGCCTCTAGCCAGGAGATCAACTACAGGTAGTCCTCGACTTTCAACAGTTCATTTAGTGACTGTTCAAAGTTACAACCGCCCTGAAAAAAGTGACATGACCATTTTTCACATTTACAATTGTTGCAGCATCCCTATGGTGATCAAAATTGGCAACTGGCATGTATTTAAGATGGTTGCAATGCCTTGGCTCATGTCATCACCTTTTGCGACCATCTGACAAGCAAAATCAATGGGGATGCCAGATTCACTTAACGACTGTGTTACTAACTTAACAACTGCAGTGATTCACTTAATGACTGTGTCAAGAAAGGTCATAAAATGGGGACAAATTCATTTTAACAACTGTCTTGCTTAGCAATGGAAATTTTGGGTAGAATTGTAGTAAGCTGAAGGCTACCTATACAAATATTAATTTAAGTTTGAAGCAGCTGAAATATATTAGCCTGCTAGCATGTTTGAAATCATGGGCAGTAGGTCTGCCATGATTTAGCTCAGAGTTCTTCAAAGTGGTCAATATCGACCCCCAAAGGGTCAAAGTAACAATCTATTCTTGTTATTTGTAATCAAGTAGTCCTTGACTTACAACAGTTCATTTAATGACCATTCAAAGTTACAACACTGAAAAAGTGACTTATGACCATTTTCACACTTACGACCGTTGCAGCATCCCCATGGTCAGTTGATTAAAATTCAGACGTTTGGCAACTGACCCACATTTGTGATGGTTGCAGTGTCCCGGTATCATATGATCCCCTTTTGTGACCTTCTGATAAACAAAGTCAATGGGGAAACCAGATTCATTTAACAACCGATGTTACTAATTTAAGAACTGCAGTTATTCACTTAACAAACATGGCAGGAAAAGTCATAAAATGAGGCAAAACTCACTTAACAAATTTTTCACTTAACATTTTGTTGAAGACTACCTCTACTATTAATTAAAGTAATATTGATTAAATTATTTTCATATAATAAATATCTGGAGGCTGATAAAGAATAGAAACTTCATGAAGGGCTTGATAGCTGAAGAATTTGGGGACTCCTGGTTTACATAGCACTTCTTCATGATTTGCATTAAAGCAGATTTTGCCATGCGCAACAGAGAAACCAGAAGAAAATTCTATCCATGAACTACACAGTTTTTCCCCCACACATCCAATCTGCTTTCTCACCATCCTCAAGATAGGAAAAAAAGTACATTAGTTTGAAAATGTGTTGGTCATGATGGGGGAAATGCAGAGGAAATAGCATATTCAGCAATGGTTAAGGAACAAGAAGAGTGAAGGATTCCTGTTCCCCCATGTTTTCCCTCTTTCCAACCAACAATATGGAGTAGTTTGGGCTGAGAAAGCCATAGAACTTCCTTGGCTGAGGAAGTCTAATACCTTAACCACTATGCCACATACAGCGACATTAAGTTGGGCTTCAACACACAGGAATGCAAAATTAATGATTTATTCATATCAATAAGAACTTACATAGGCCAATCATAAGGATTAGCATGACGGAAAAATAGGACCAACATGAACTAGTAACCATTACAGGTGACCAAAACATTCTGTATAGGAATTTCTGATCCACAGAACTGCTTGTGTGGGTAGTCCATGCCCAATCCAAACTAATGTATCTATTTCAAATGCTTCGATTCATTGGAAACATACTGGTAGAGATGGAAATGTTCATTTACATCCATCCATCCATCCATCCAATTAATATAGCGCAGGTGTCAAACTCAATCATGTCATATGACATATTGTGACATTTTTTTCCAGGATGGACATGGTCGTGTGTGATGCATCCGGCCGGTGGCTGGCAGTTTGACACCCCTGTTCTATAGCCACACAGCTCAACCAACTGATTTTGGGGTAGAAGCAATATGAGCAGGTGGTAAGAGTAGAAAAAAGCCATGTCTGAAGGGTTTTTTGGATGACATCAGCTTTGTCTTATTGTCGCCATAGAACAACACAAATTCTTATGGATTTTGTTTCAGCTAAAACCTCAAATATTCAGAATGCTCCAGGTTTTGTTTCTGCCCAGGTCTGATCCAAAATTTGTATTTTCTTTTTATAAGAATTAATATAAAATCCTTTGGATTCAAATAATTTCTGCTTGAATAGTAGATGGAGGCTGTGGCCAGGAATTCCTCCATAAAATTACATCTTATGTGCCAGTTGTGGCTATTCATGTAACAGATAGTTTACTATAATTTCTACTATATTAGACTGCAGCTGAAGTCTATTCAGAAACTTTTGGTGATTTAGCATTTAGCAGTCCAAATAGTTGTGGAAGAAACTAGATTCACTCATGTTATATCGTTTCAATGGCAGTTACATTGACTGACAGCTTCAGGATGTAATTCTTATTACTGGCTAGGATCTCCATAACTTCCTCTGAACCCAATGTGCCCAACCAGTGTGATCTAGCAGGGAAGACTTTCAGAGTGTCTCAAAGTTGAGAACACCAACTACAGTGACCCCACACTCAAACTTTTCCAGGGTAATCCTGTTTATAGAATAGCTACCTCCAGATATTTGGACTACCAGTTCCCAATTATATTTGCAGAGAGCCTAGAGAACATAGCTCTTCAGACAGGTATTTTGGGATGTTTGCCTCAACCATGATGTATCAGGGCCTTGTTGTGTATATTATTTGTCTATTTCAGTTGTTAACAATTACTGAAAATTATTCATTAACATCTTTATAATTGTTTATATTTTACTTTTACAGTATTGTTATTTCTAAGCTGCTTGAAGCTTTTGAAATGGAACAGCATATAAGCTAAACTAAAATACACATATACATACACTTTTTCTTTAACTGTATAAAATCACCTTTGCCAATTGCTGGCTTAGTCGCCTGTTAAAAGAAGCCATGGTTTGCTATTCTTGCTACGTCATGAAGGGCTGATAGGAATCAAAAAGTGGCATTTAGGCCAGATACTTTAAACCCTACCCCCACCAATTTAAAATGAGTTATTTTAAAAGTTGATTAAACTTGTTTTGGAGATTAGCCATTTTTATGAGATTTGAAATTATAGCTGGGCCTGTAAACATATGGAGTCCTGTATTAAAACTATTTTTACTTTTTTATACCTTATCATTCTACTCAAGCAAACACTCAAAATCTATGTTGTAGCTTAGTCTGTGGCATGAACAGTGCTACTATTTTACTTTAGGGTTATTGTACAGTAAATGCCTAGTATTGACCATAAAGCAATAAGGAAACCACGTATATGAAAATGGTGTTTGGCTTTGGGTTAAAATTAATTGATGCAGTATATCTGCATCAAATAAATTCTCTCTCATTATCTCACAAGAATTTTAGAATAACTCATCCTGGCCACCTATACATCAAAAACTGAACTCAAATGATGTCTGCTCCTTCCAATTGTGGAAGATGGTCAATTAAAGGTGTTTTGTCAATGACAATTGAAAAGATCTGGCTCTTCATCATAATAGAGAAATAGGAAATACTGTCTATTCCTGATCTTGGAGGTCCAGCATCAGCATTCAATACTGTAGCTTAGTTGGGGTTGATAACCGCAATTATTAACATTTCACATAAAATCCTAGAACTGTTGCAAGATTTGGGAATAGCATAAAATGAAAATGGTAACTGGAACAATATAGTATCAGAGTTACTTCGGAAAATTCAAAAGTTTACTATTTCTGTCACTTTAAAAACCAGAAACGCATCTTATAGTCAGCTACTTAGATGGGATGGGCAAAATTGGCAGTTAAGATTACGGGAAGATTTTGCGCAAGAAAATATTATTTATTCTTGGTTCCAATATAGGCAACTAGTAGATAAATGGAAGGTGGATTGTAAATTGGGTTTTCTTAGAGAAGATGAAAATCTTATTAAGCAAGTCAAGGATCAAAGACAAACCCACATCAAGAGAATCTATGGGGTATTAGTTGAAATGGACTCAGAAACGGAATTAATTAAAGACTGTATGATTAGATGGGCGCAGAATTTTGGTGTCCCAGTCTCATTGGATATCTGGGAAACCATCTGGGTGAGAAATGTCAAATTTACACAAGCACAGAACTTAAGGGAGAATTTTTATAAAATGTTTTATAGATGGCACCTTGATCCACAAAAAATGTCTCTTATGTACCCTGACGTACAACCTAAGTGTTGGAGATGTGGTTATATGGATGCTTCCTATTATCATATTTGGTGGTCATGTAGAGAGATAAAAGCATTTTGGATCAAGATATGGTGGAATATCCAGAGAATTTTTAGAAGGAGGGTAAAATTTACTCCGCAATTATTTTTGTTGGGTATAGTTACAGATTGTGATACAAAGGAGGTTGTATTGATGTTAAATTTGATTACAGCCGCGAGGCTGTTAGTAGGACAATACTGGAAGAAGGAGTCTTTGCCTACATTGCAGGAATGGTTTCTTAAAGTAGCTTATTTGGCGGAAATGGCAAAGATTTCGGCTTTCTTAAAGCAACAAACGCAAGAGAAGTTTCTTGTCGTTTGGGATAAATGGATAAAATTTATGCAATTTAGATTGGGTACAAAAAAATATCATATAGCCTTTTCATAAGTTTTACTTTCATATATAGAGAATGTTATATATAGATATTCTTTTTTATATATATAAATATAAATTTTTTAATTTAATTTTTTATTTGTTAATTTTTAATTAAGCCTATATTCTGCTCTGGGAAGCTCGGGGGGGGGGAAGGGAGGGTGTTTGTGAGGGGTGGGGGATGGGGGTTTTTTTATATGTAATGTTTAGTTTTTTTTGTGTATATGTTGTTTTTTGTTTTGTATTGTTTTTGTCTTTTTGTAAAATTTATAAAACTTTCAATAATAAAAAAAAAAAAACCAGAAACGCATCAATATATGAGACTCTGTGAGGTAAATAGTCAGAAGAGATCTGGATTTTCATGGAGAGGTTTTAAGTATAATACAACCTCAGACAGAGGTTAAGACTTAAGGTTTACATATTTAAATATGCTGGAGCTTCTAATATATTTTAAAAACAGTGAAGTAAGTGCTTCCTCTATTTAAATAGCACTATTTGTCTTAAGTTTGAAAAATATACTTATTTATGCACATTCTTGCTTTTGGAGGGAGTTGATTTGAAACAACTTTGAGTGCAATGACAGTTAAATTTCTAAGATCCTGCATGAAAGTCCCCCCAACCAAACCTCCTATTTTCTTAGATAATAGACTGAGATATGTGGGTGAATATTAGGAGAGCAATGTAGATCTTTTTTTCCTTGGGACTGCTTCTTGCTAAACATGCATGTGGAAATGTCAGCTCACAAAAACCAACTTTGGATGGCCTCCATATCTTGGTTCTGGCCAATGCCTGAACAGCTGCCTGCAGTTTTTTTCCCCAAAAAAACCTGGTTTGCCCAAACTAGTCCAAAGAAACCCAGTTGGTTTTAAGGCAAGAGAGTCTCCCAATATCCAGTCCAGGGCCTTTAACCACTACACAAAACTAGCTCTCAAGAAAGACCAAGGGGGCAGACTTAATAGTTTTCACTTGGATTTTAAAGGCACATGACCAAAATGATAGAACTTTTAATATTCTATCATTCTGGTCAGATGCCTTTAAAATCCAAGTGAAAACAGTAACACAATATGTTTAGAATGCTAAAACTTTATGACTATTTCATTTAACAGAATATACTTCTGTTATACTTCTAGGTAGGATATATTATTTTTTAAAAAAACAAATTCAAGGTCAGTTTTCATTTATCAATTTTCAAAATGACAATTACAAATTAAAATCTTTGAAATTTGTATTATCCAATTTCCAGGTACTGTATGCAGATGCAGTTCATTATCTATTGTAGTTATTTCCAGCAATTATTAAACCTTGGGAATTTTAACAATTTCCCAGTACTTGATTAGTTTCTGCAGGAACTGAAATTGAACATTATCAATTGTTTAAAAGTATTATAAAACAGCAACTGCAGTTATTATAAAAATGTGTTCTTGCTGTGTTTGAACTCTTAAGAGTGTTTTGTTTAATTCTAAGGACTAACAATCAAATGGCAAACATCACAACCACGTGGAAAGAGAAGCTTTCTAATCAATTCCATTAAGGCCATATCCTGTTCACACAAAGATTCCCACAGTGAGTACAGATTATGTCTCCTTTTATATCAGAAGACCTTGGAATTCACATGCAGCTCCCCACTGCTATTTTCAAAGTATCTGTGAGCTTGAATATTTAGAAATGGAGATGGCATTTGGAAGAGAATATCTAACGCTGAAGAATTTGTATAACTGAGTTGCAAGTTAATATAAAACATTTTATGCCAAATTACATTTGGACCTGTTAAAAGTAATTCATAAATCCATACTTTACATAATTTTATTCCACTAGAAATTGTGATTTTATACATAGTATAAAGGGCATCATGATAGCACACACATATTTTACCATACTGTTAAAAACCATTTACATAACTATTAAGTACCCTATTATTAAAGCAATATTCAGATACCTTTTTAAAAACTACACATAGATGAATGTTTATCATATGCACAGTGCAAATATGTGCCCATAATATTTTAGCCACTTTAAAACAAAACACCGTGACTTAAAACTAGCTTAAAATTATATGGTCCATGTGTCATCAAGTCAGATGTTATGAATCTCTAATGAAGAACGAAAACAGTGTTAAACTCCAGATAAATGGGAGAGACCTTTTATCATTATGTTTTGAAAATTTTCCATTGTGTAAAATGGAAACAATTACATTTTCAGTTTATCATGAATGGCACTAAATACTGTGTTACTATATTAAATGGAATTTTGCCCCCAAGTTGGAAAATAAGTAAGATGGCAAATGAGAGAAGAATAGGATTCTTCAATGCTTTAGCCAGGAGGCTTAGACTTCATATCACATTTCTACACAATTTTAGTCATATATATAAATTGTGGAGAAGGGTGATATATATAATATAAACACAACAAGCCATGTTTATAGTGTACAAATGACCATGGAAACGAACCCTTAATTATGTAAACAAATCAGCACACAATTTCTTCATTTTCCCTTTATAGCATGGTGCAGAAGGGGGTTGAATATCAAGTCTCTTAAGAACCACAGCGTCACCAACACAAATAAAACTTTAGGCTGTATTCACGGAAAGTCTGTGATGCCTTTATTCCCTCCCTTGCCTTTCTCTCAGAGTTCATGAGTGTTTTGAGTTCAATAAATAGTACAAAAATAATCCTTTATTTAAAAATCTCCAGATGCATTGTCCTAGATCCTATACAATAATTTGTAAGAGCAATGAACTTTTTTTAAAAAAGGAGCCCACACAAATGAAAACCTTGTGGCAATGGCTATTTTTAGATCCAGCACCTTCTTTCTCTCTGGCTGCAATTTCTGTTCTTCCCTTTAAGGAAAGCAAAATCTTCTTCGCCTTCAACTGCGCTAACTCTTTTCTTGGCTCAGATTAACCGAGTTCAAAACACTCAGCTTAAACTTTTGTGTAAACCTTTCTTCTTTCTTGTGCTTGGAGATCGAACATTCCTACTATTCCATTTGACTGAGTGTTATGGCAGGTTCATTCATCACCTTAACCTCTCCACTCCAGGGCCAGCTTTATGTTTTAGAAAGAGAAAATTTGCGTCTGAAATGTGTCCTGTGATAGTCACCAAAACCATGCCTGTCACGAAAGATGAACATGAGTTGGGCTCCTGCTGCCTGTGTCATTAGATGCAATTCTCCCCCGAGTTCAAAGTCGTTAGCATTCTGCATCTACCGTGTGTACCGTCACTGCAGCCTGTAAGTGGTGACTGTGGTGGGGAGCGGGATGGTGCAACCTGTAGTGGTGGAACTTGTGACTCAAAAGGGCAGCAGTCTGAGGTGGGGTCTCCAGGTCTAAATCTTCGTCATGATTTCCCACATCTACACCAGCTGATAATGGGTCATTGTTGCAGGGAGGGTTTTCGCTGTCTTCCTGAGGACTCATAGTACTATAGCCTGAAAAATAAAGCCACATGAAATCCAAGATGGATTGACTTTGAACAACAGTGTTCATAATGCTTAGAAGCAATCATTCACATTTATAATTTAACACGCTGCAGGAAGGAAAAATCAGAGCCATACAATGTCGACTGTTGCAGGAGTCTTACGTAGATTATTTAAACAGTTTGATTTCCTTTCCTTCATATTTTTTCTTTGAGTTTCTAATTTTGTACAAAAAAAATATTTCAGAACAACATGGAAAGAATGCTGTTACATATCTATTATTTAATTCTTCTGCCTGAGATAATTTGACTAATATAATTCATTAAATTTTCAAAAGTCAGCTAGGTGACCTTGGACCAGTCACTCTCTCTCCGACCAATCTACCTCACAGGATTGTTGTTGTGGGGAAAATAGGAGGAAAAAGGAGTATTAGGCTTGTTTGCTGCCTTGAGTTGCTTCAAGTGATAAAGGCAGAATAAAAATCTAATAAATAAATACATATACTATAAACCTCATATTTGTTGAAAATGATCAACATAAAATATACCAAATAATTGTTTACACCTTTCAATATTTTGTGATTTTATTAGCTAAACAAAATCTTCAAATAATTTCCTTTATGATTATACAAATTATCTATCTTCAATAACTTCATTTATTGTAACAATGATGTAGGTAATACCTGAGCAACCTCCTCAAATTCCTTGATGTCCAATTTGGTGGGACTAACACACAGTGAAGAGAATTGGTTCACACACCCTCCTGCATGGAGGAGAACTGAATTCCTCCAGTGGGAATTTGCCTATAGCTATGAGCTCCATTCATACACTCCACCAGAGGAGTTTTCTCCCACACATGGAGGGGAGCTGAACTCCTTTGGTAGGCAGCTCTTTCAGCCAGGCCCCGAGACAAGAAGGAACTGAAATACAAGCAGAGAGCCCAGAGACAATGCAGCAAAGGAACGTGGAGTACCTCAAGTGTTTGGAGGAAGCCTGGTGCAGGCCTTGCACAAATGCCTCTTGCCACTAGCTTTCAGCCATTCAGGGGCTGAAAATCCCGCTTGCATTTTGGCATGGAAGATTTTCCGCTCCTGAGCAGTGTTTCCCAGGGTGTCCCTCCTACACCACAAGGCATCCTATGCACCTTACCTGGGATTCCATCTGTTTAATGATGTGCAAGATTGCTTAACAATCACAACTGAGAGTGACAGGATTGTGGTAGTTGAGTGAAGCACTCATGTGATTCTTCACTTAATAATCACATTGTTCAACGACCAAGATCCAGTCCTAATTGTAGTTGTAAGTCAAAGAATATCTGTATTTACTATTTAAGAGGCATTTGAATCTATGGACATTGAATCCTCCCATTAGTTCAAAAAACTTAGGATTTACTTTATCAAAACACTGTCCAAAATGGTGTAGGGTTTCCTGCCTGAGCAGGGGGTTGGACTCGATGACCTCCAAGGTCCCTTCCAACATCATCATCATCATCATCATTATTATTAACTCTTATGCATAAATAGATTCCTGTTTATTTATTTGTCAAGTATACTCAAACTGTCAGAGATTTTTTTATTTGATTTTTTTTGTTTGTTTTGGACAACAAAAGGGTATGAAAGTGTATTTATTTCCTCTACCAATGTAGATTTTTCAATGGCTTTAATCAGATTTTTTTTAGTTTTAAATTAATGAGTTTACAGGTACAATAACCAACACATTATAGAATTTATCATACTATTAAAATATATTTTTCCTACTATTAAAATATTTTTTTTACATATGTAATTGCCAAGTCTTAAAAGGCAGGAGGAATTTTAAACTCAACGCAGTCCTGGTAAACATATTTTTAAACAATGCAACTTAAGGATGTTTAAGCAATGCAACTATAATAAAAGTGTATACAATACGTTTCAGTTGTAAAAGCTATCCATAGTCAATTTGGAGTAAATAAAGACTAGTGCTTAGCTGCTTGGTGAAATTCACATTTAAGAGAAATACACACAAAACTGTCTTGCCCACAATTATTATTACAGTTTGGACTTTTTCTTTCTTTCATGTACCAAGTTTTAATCCATCTTCAGATTGGGAGCTCAATTGGTGACTGGTCACTCTCAGCCCGACCCTTATTGTTGTAAGAAAAAACAGAAGCGACAGCTTTTGAATCAAAGATAGGTTTAAAACTAAGAAATAAGCAAACAAAACATATCCAACTTCAGGTGCATGATGAAAGATAAGCTATTGTATAGGACAATTCCTGTGAAAAATTTTTCACAGTAAACAGTACATGCCATCAGGCTTAGAAGTTCACATGCTGAGGAGACCAATAACAAAGTAGCACATGATTAATCGGCCTGACCATCTTGGGAAAACCAGCAATAAACAAATAACTTTTTCTGCATAGAAAAAAATGCAAATTGCATCTTATCAACTCCCAGTAAGAAGAAGTGTTTTTTTTTATTGTGATGAACTTTCCCAAATTAAATGGAATGGCCCTAATGTCTGTATAATGAATGGTGAGAATAACTTTGGGAGACAGGAGGAGGAGCTGCACCTTAGACTAATCCAGTGGTTCTCAACCTGTGGGTCGGGACCCCATTTGGGGTCGAACAACCATTTCATGGGGGTCACCAAACAACGCAGTCCGCCAATTTTTTCCCCTTTTCCTTAGCTGTGCTACTCCCTTTTATTCTATTGGCTTTTGAAAGCCAATAGAATAGACTCTCTTGAATAGAGCCTAATTCTATTGGCTTTCAAAAGCCAATAGGAATTGTCCAGGCTGTCTCTGCCCTGCTGAGCCCGCCAAAAGTCCCATTCTGCAAACGGTGCTGCACCAGTTGAGTAGTCCTCGACTTACAACTGGTTGAGTAGTCCTCAACTTACGACCGGTTGGGGGTCACGGCATTAAAAAGGTTGAGAACCACTGGACTAATCAATCAGTCTGATAAAAAAAAAGAGAGTCCAAAGGAGAAATAGGGATGGAGGAAGTGTCTCAGAAGGGCCCTCCCTGGTTCTCTGGAAAGTAAAGATAGGCAAAGGAGCGGAAGTGCTTTCAGAGTTATAAAATTCTTACTGTAGCCTTTCAGTAAAGGTAGTATTAATACTATTAACAATAGTATTAATTGTTTTGGTTTCTTCTCTGGACTAACTTG